CCTGAGTTATCTTTGGTTATTATAAGTGTAGACTGCTATTAATTGTACCCATATTCTTAGTTTTGCCATAGAATTGCATATATGTACGTATTTTATAAATATTTTTTTAAAGATTTATTTATTTGTGCATACAGAACTGGGGTACAGGCCAGAGGCTCGGGGACGGCGAGAGGCTTCACCAGAGACAGAGTGGGGAGCAGAACAGGCAGATCGATGAAGTACACTGCTGAGGGGAGCAGCGGGCGGGTCAGGAGAGGTCTGCCAGCCATGTGGCCACCTCCGGCGCAGGCGGGAATCGAACTCATGCGGAAGCGGCTTTAGATTCTCAGTGCTGTGCTTTAACCCGCTGCGCCACCAGGGAGGGCCTATAAAAATTGTTTTAACTTCTTTCATTCTTCTCTTTCTTTAGGTTATATATCCTACTCTTCCTTACTTGTGATCTTGTAGATTTTGTTTTCTCCATTAATTAGGATTATAAGTGTTTTATCTATTGCTAAAGGGGAAATACTTATACTGTGTTTATTCTTTGTTAGTTTATATTTCCTATTTCATTGATTTTTACTTTAATCTGTGTTAATTACCTCTTCTTAATTTTGGGTTTTTGTAATCATCATCTTATAATTTCGGTAGCTGAATATTGATTTTTTCTTTAAATGGTGACCATACTTAAGGCTATAAATTTTCCTATAGCCTTTGTTGTGCTCCAGTGGTTGACTATACAGTGTTTACTTTTCTTTTTGATTTCTAAGTAACTTACAACTTTAGCTTTGGTTTCTTCTGGAGTACAAGGATTATCTAAGAATATGTTTCTTACATTTTTTCATTTTTAACCTCTATTTTAAAGGCATCCTCTTTTTTTTTTTTTTTTTAAGATTTACTTATTTGTACATACAGAACTGGGGTACAGGCCAGAGGCTCAGGGGCGGTGAGAGGATTCACCAGAGACAGAGTTGGGAGCAGAACAGGCAGATCTACGAACTACACTGCTGAGGGGAGCAGCAGGCGGGTCAGGAGAGGTCCGCCGCGCCATGTGGTCACCTCCCGGGCAGGCCGGAATCCGAACTCATGCAGAAGTGGCTTTAGCTTCTCAGTGCAGTACTTTAACCCACTGCGCCACTAGGGAGGGCCCGGGTTTGTGGTTTTTTAAATTACATTAACTAAATACTGGAGAGAATTCAGTCTATCTGCATTAATTTCATAATAAATATTCTTAATTTTATTCCTGGAATTTAATTAAAATTTCTTACTTATTTTGTTGTTTCTCCTTTAAATAACAAGAGCTTATCTTTCAGGAAAACATTTGGTGATTTAATTAAGAGACTATTAATTTCCCTTTGCCTTCACTTTAATTTGGTTCTTCAGTCCTTTTTATTTCATTAATATTTATCTTTACCATCAATAGGTAGCATTATTATTCCATAAGAGAAATCATCACATATATTTTTCACAGGACTAGTTTCTGCTCCTATGGATAGAAAGCCATACGTATCCCTTCTCCCAACAACATAAATTTTTAGTGATTTCTGTTTCCACACTCTCTACCCCACACTCTTCAGAGAAGACTTTGAAAGCATTTTTATATTTTCCCACCCTCCCCAGCTTTAGACCATTAGTGTTCCTGTTATACTATAACCTCCACTTGAGTTTCAATTCAACCCTTAGATCACACATTCATAGTCTATGTGTTTATTTTGGTTTGACTCCATGATTTTGCAAGTTTTGTTGCTATCATGATTTTCTCTTGTCAGTTTTTCCTTATCTTGAGCCCTCTCTGCTGGAAGCTAGTTCCTTTGGGGTTGTTTTAGTCCTAATTCTGCCCTAGATTGGGTAGGTGGTCATGTCCTGGTGGAGGGAGGATTCCAGTCTGCAGTCCTCTTAAAAGCACATGAATATCTTTCGTTTCTTGTACATTTTGAATGTAAAATCCAGTTCCAGTTTAATTTTTTTCCCATTGTAACAACTTGCTGTTTTCTATAGGAGACTTTAAAATATTTTATCTCAAAAATCATATTTGCATGTGCACAAGTGGTGTCTTCTCTCATTAATTCCACCTGAAACTGTACTTTCAATGTGTATATTTGGATCTTTCTTAAAATCAGAATACATTCCTCTTCTACAATTACTGCTCTCCTTTCACGTTTCTTTTCTTTTTCTGGAAATCCTAATTATAGGTTAGATATGCCGAATCTTTCCTTCACATGCTAATAAAATTTCTCGATCTTTATATTTTCCCCACTGGATCTTAAAATCTGTTAGTTGTAGTCTCAACATTGGTCAGCCTTTCTTTCATCATATCTGTTCACTATGTTAACTTGAAAGTCTTATTTTTTTATTTATAGACTGTCTTAACGCTGTATTTCAAAGTCATATTATTTTTCTGCTTTCTCCCAACAGTTTTGAATGCTTTCTTCAGTCTTTCCCTTTCTGGCTGTTCGACCTCCTTAGGTGTCCTTTTATTTTCCTTTGTTTATTATGGCACAGATCCCAACTGCTGGATACTGTAAGAGAACTGAACTCGTGAGCGTGGGAAGGTACAGACAGCTCCATCATTAGGGACCAGCAAGTTATCAGTTACCTAGGAGGCATCAGAAAGGAGACTTTCTTCTGTATTAGACTAGATAAAACTCAGCTCCTTAATTGGGGCACACTTCATTGGGATCAAGGGGCCTGTGATCATTGAAGGATAGCTCTTCCAGGGGCTACCACATGCTGGTCTTTGTTTTAGAATTTCTGCTGTGGTCCTCACATGCTTATTCAAGCAAGAGAAAGAAAGTACCATAATAACTATGTAGTTCATACCCTCTACCTGACTACCAGTTCCCATATTTCCTTAACTTGAGATTAAAGAATATGTTTGACCCAAGCTGTAACTGAAGAGTAAGTGGGACATAATTAAGCTATTCTCTACCCAGAATCTCCTAAGGATGTAATGATGAGCATAACAAAGATACACATTCCTAGACTTAATGGAACTTATAAAAAAGTTGAGAAGATAGACTGTATAGAGAATATAGAAAAATAGATAGGTACGTAGGTTGGTTAAGTAGTTAGGCAGACAGACAGTTAGACAGGTGAAAGGGAAAAAAAAGATAGCTCACATGTAATTCTGAAATTACAATTGCAATTAGTATATGAAGGATAAGTAAAGAGAAATATGAAAAAGTGATAACCTGGTGTGTAAAGAGGGAAGTGACATCTTAGGAAATGAGATTCCAAAAAAAGAGTAAGTTAATCGTTCAATGAAGGAAGGAAAGAGAACTGCAGACAAAGAGAGCAGAATGTTCCCCTTGTTATTTTAGCTCAGACATAGAACAAATACTGAATTATCTCAGCTATTCAATTAATTTAAGCTAAAACAAAACAAAACAGAAAAACAGAATCCAATCTTGGGAGTAAGCCTGTCACATCTGAGAAGAAAAAGAAGGTTAGTGTGACTGGAGCAAGGGAGAGTAGAGATGAAAAGAAATTAAAGAGGGAGGTAATGTTGGCTGTCATAAGGAGTGTGATTTTCCTAAAAGCAATAGCCTTTCGAGTATTTTACACCAGGGGAAAAAATACTCTATCACATGTCAGAAGATTGTGAGGATTCAGTGTAAAGAAAAAATTGGAAGGGACCGTTTGCTACTGGGGAACCAGAAAAGTAACTATTATAACCAGAAAAGTAACTATTGAGAGGTATGTTAAGGTAGTAGTCAATGCAAGTACACCGTTAGGAGCTAAAATGGGAAAGAATTGAGAGTGGAAGGGGAATGGATCACTCCCAAATTATCTAGACTATCCTGCTACTATATGAATTGGAAGCATAAGAGGACCAAGTTGGAAAACACCAAATTAGTCACTCATATTGAGCTGTCTTTGGGACTCTTAAATGGAGAAGTCATAAACAATGAATCTGAGATAGGATTGTACAGGTACATATATGTGTGCTGTGTGGGTTTAGGTGGAAATCATGCATAAATGAGAATATCTTGGGAGATTTCAAGAAGGAAAAAGATTATTAATCTTGTATACTGCTAGTATCTGTCCACATTAGAGTAACTTTTCTGGGAAATGACTGGGAATGTGTCACAGTCTTAAAAAACTATCACAGCCAATTCTATAACTCTGTAAGAATCTATCTCCAGAAAATAAAAGTAAATGTTACAAAGGCTTATGGATAAAAATATTTAAGAATTACTTATGATGGCAAAAATATTACTAATTAATACAAGGAGTTTAAGAAGATTATTGTACAAAGATTATCAATGAGTATTATGTCATTATAAGTTGATGTTTATAAAGATGTAATGACATTATGAGCTGATCATATATAGTAATATTAAGTATAAAAGGACATACAATTGATAAAGATGGAAAGAAATATGGGGGAGCTGGAAGAGAGAAACTCAGCTGTGTGAAAACTGTTAAGGAAATAAAGTTATCTGTAAATAGTGGGAAATGGATGAGTATTACACTCTATGCTTTTATATACTTTCTGAATTTATCAAAATGGTCATGTAGTACATCTTTTGTATTATTTTATTATTAAGCATGGGATAATAATCTTTCCTTTTTGCAATATTAATGAACATTTCTCTTTTGAATCTTACATGTTTTCGGTGTATAAGTTTATTTTCATGCACTTTAAAGTTTTGTGAAACATTTAGATTTGTAAAATAGTTTCAGAATATTGGTGTAGGCCATAGCAAATCCATTCATCACCCTCAGAATTTTTCATAAGTTCACACAGTGTGTCACATTGAGAGCGTTTGTATCCCTTTCACTTAATGCTTGCTAGTACAGATGGCTCTTAACTCTCTTTAACATGAGTTTTTAAGTATAAAATGTATACACAAAAGAATTTGCTAATTAATTTTAAATACAGCTAATTGTTATTCTTTTTCTCAATGACTGTTGGAGAACCATCCATTTGGACTATCATTTGTATCATTGTCTGCAGTGATGTGAAAGCATTTTGAATTTGGTTCAAAATTAAACAGACGACTTTTTTTTAACTCCAGGAATGTATACAAAGACTATCGCTTCCTTGAGCTGGCTTGTGATTCACAGGAGGATGTGGACAGCTGGAAAGCATCGCTACTAAGAGCGGGGGTTTATCCTGATAAGTCTTTAGTAAGTTGGAGATCTCTCTTACTCAAGTTATTAACCATGTTTAAGAGAACATAATTCTATATACTATATGATGAAAAAGCTAGATCTTACTGATTTAATTTGGCACTGTTTTAAATGGTACTTTGCTTATATATTTTTGATCCCTTCTGTTTCTATTTTAAGAAGTTAATCAGTTTAATTGTTTTAAAAAAAAAACTAGTCAGCCATACAGCATAGTATATGTGGTCTCAGATCAAGCGTCTTTTCATTTTAAAGTTTCATTTTCTTTTACATGTTATTCCATAGTTGTTATAGGATTCATACAGGCAGTTTACAGTATTCCTCATGTATGCATAATTAATATAAACATATATAATTAATCATAATGTTGACCTTTCTTATTCTACCTCTTTGTCTATATACTTATATCCATATTATATGTATACTCGAGCTCTGGTTAATATCATGCTTGTGAAGGGTCAAAAATTATAGCTATTCCCACTTTTTTAGTAAGCATCAAGTGTGTTAGAAAGACTTCTTTCTTTTAAGTTGATAAACAGACCTTCAATTTATGTCCTTTGGAAAATGTATTACATGGATTAGTCCAGATTGAAATTTTAGAAGTCCCACCTAACATATACATACTCACCATTAACTGACTCTACAGATGCTCTGCTTACATGCTGCTTCTCTCCAAGATGTCATATTACCCACTTTCCTCCCCAGCACTAAAGTGCTGTGACTTAAGCCTTGGAAAGTTAGTGCAGCTTCAACCACATGGTGCCTACTTGGATTAGTTTATAGGACAATTGAGTCCTTTGCAGGCCCCAAAAAGAGTTAGAGTGTTCTCAAGAGAAGTCTAATATATGGTGTAAGATGGGTCAACTGAAGCATCCCTGGAGGTCGTGGGGGTTTCAGACATCACCATAGCTCTGAGTTTGTATTAGAATACAACAGAGTTCCTAGAGTAAAAGATTGAGGGTTGTACAAAATGTTCTCCTAATTGCTTATTTTAGCTTAGATGTAGAGTTCTTAATTCAGCCCTACCCTATACTTGTATTAATATCTAAAACTATGAGTCCCCTACAAAATACCCTGTGCCCTACACATGAGGTGAACCCAGACCATTTCCTGATATGATATCCAGTTACAGTGGTATCTATGTAGACTTCATAAAATTTCCTGGTTTTCTCCAGTTGTGTGCATAAATATTTGTATATACACATAACTCTCTAAAGACTAAGAAATCATTTAGAAAATTGGAATGTCACTCTATTTTTGATGTGAATTCTAATCACTACTTATACTCTGCCATACTCATTGATGGTAATGTGCTTAGTTTTACAAACATTCCGTATTTAAAGTACACATATACTTACTTGTTTATTCATTCATTCCACAAAAGCCTGTTGAGTTTGCCTTTTTTGACTGGCACTATTCCAGGTGCTAGTGATACAGAGGTGAACAATGATCTTTTGGTTCCAAGGAAAAGAGGTTAAACAAGTGAACAAATTGCTGTATAACTGCTATGGTGGAGGAGTGGGTGCTTTGGTGCTGGGAGTGCTATGGTGATTACACCTGGGGGTGGGGGAATCCTATATTGTCAAATCATTAGCAAGGATGTAAACAATGACACTTCAATTTAAAATATATACATATATAAAATTACTGTAATTAGTTATATAGTGGCATTTAAGAGAGTGTCATGTTCTATTAAGATAAAGCAAGTTAAAAGGACAGACAGACAAGGAGAGACTGAAGAGCTTTGTTTTAGTGTAGTTGACCAGGCCCCTTTGAAGAATTAGCATTTTAATAGACTACTCCTGAAGGAAGGAGGAAAGTAAATATAAGTCTGAAGAAGAGTATTGGTGGCAGTGGACCACCAAGTACAAAGCCAGGTCAGTATGTTAGAAGAACAACAAGAAAGCCAGTATATCTGGAATACAATGAGGGAGGACAGAAGAGGCTGATTGTTTCTAATTATAATGATGATGATAATTATTTTAATCAAAGCCTACTTTACTTAACAAGTCTTCATGACATTATCTGTCTTCCAAATATGCTTAGATATATAAAATATCAATATGTATGTGTGTGTATCTTTATAGATCATCTTCCTCATATGCAACTGTAAAATTGTAATGGTCATGTTTTCTTAAGACATGATTTTGTAACTTAAGCTAATTTTAATGCACAAGACAAGCTGCCCCCCACCCCCGCTGCCACCATGAATTGTTTGTGGAAATCTGAGTTTTCACGTTTCTTAAGCTCTACAAAGAATATGCTCAATGGAATACTTGTGTGTGTGTGTGTGTGTGTGTATCAGAATGCTCAGTTTTAAGTAAATGTAGGTGTTCTATACAATCTGTATTAAGTCTCTTCCCATCACTTAAATTTGTTTATAAATACATGTTCTATATAGTTGTGTGGTAGTTTGTTTTTTTTTTAAACTGCATACCAAAGAGATGACAGGAAATTAAACTTGGCCATATGCCATGAGCATTGCTTTTCTCAGTTTTCACCACAAATAGTATTTGCATTTCTTATGCACTATGTAGTTCTGTAGGTTTTATTACACGATTGCTTGACTTTCAGATGTTTAAATGGCAGCTAACTACTGAAAAAAATTCAATTCAGAATGCTTATCTAAACATTCTGCTCTGTGAACATTCTTAGATTAGAGGGGAGAAATGCTTTTAGGTACAGTTATTCATAATTTAAAAGACTTTTGAAGAATAAGTCAGATTATAGTAACAACAAATGTGTCTCTTTCAGGAAATTTTTAGATTTCTGATGCATCATTTTGCTCTTTGCATCAGTAAGCCACTGAGTCAACAGCAAATCAGTCAATCACTACCCTAATAGCGAAACATTTATTAGTCATGTACAACACGTGTCTAGACTCAACACACCATTTTCTGTGCAAGACTCCTCTAGTTTGACTGTAAAAAAATTTACCTAAGTCATTTTAAAAATTGTATAAGTTTAACTCCAATTAGGTAAGTAGCATTCAAGTATGAGTACAATGGTGCTTTAAAATTTTTTTTCAACTAAGATTTTTCATACGTTCTTTTTTATAGTGTGCTTTTCCCCACCCTATTTTTCCTATCTCCTCCATATGATGGGATATTTTTATGTCATTGTATTCTACTTCCCCTTTTCTTCTTTCTCTTAGGTTATTTCTCTTAGAGTGTTTGAAAATTTTTTTCTTTCCTTTCCTTCCACTCTCTTCCTTCACTCCCTTTCTCCCCTTCATCCATCATTGTTATGATGGACTCTAGAGATTAAAAAAAAAAATTTAAGTAAGTTATTTCATAGGAGTTCCAAGTATAGTGGAAAAGAAGCATGCAAATAAATAATTACCTTATAATGTCATAAAATCTGCAATGGATATCTATATAAAACATACCAGCCTGACTCTATTTTCATTGATTTTCTAACCACCCTCAATCTCTTAATCTCTCTGGATCTAAATTGAAATATAGGACTCTTATATAAGTATAGTGTGTGGGCCTAAAATGGAGGAGTCTTAAATTTAGTTTCCTGCTCTACCTTTAACTCTGTGAACTTACACATACATAACCTCTCTGAGCTGTAAATGCAGCATTTTACCAATCATCTGCTCTTTCCAAATGGCCACAGTACTTTAAAATTGTACTTAATTCTCATTTTGGATTTAACAACATTTTATTCTTTTATTTCTATTTCCTTTGGCCATTAAATTGAAGCTCTAACCTGTAATAATGCTTACCATTGCTAAATACATTTATAGTATCAAAGTGAAGATGTTTCCAAATGAATTGATTGTTTTTACAATGAGCCAGAAATAAATATTTATCTGAGTGTATTGTGTTTTTCAGTATAGATTTTAATTTAAGAACTTATAAAAGATTATTCACCAACACATATACATAAAATTTTTTTCTTGTAAGTCTGAATACAAAATGTGGTATAACAAATGACTTATTCTTCTGGCATAGTTTTATAGACTCACATAATGCCTTATACAACCACTAAAGAATTCAAACTCTCTGGAACATTTGCGTGCAGTGAAATGAGGTAGATTTTAAGTCACATTCACTCGCATTTGAATCTCGACCATGCTATTTATTGGTTCTGCTGTTCAGGCAACTTAGCTCACTTTCCCATTATTGATTCTTCTCAAAAATCAAAGAACAGGGATTTGTGATTTTGAGGATTAGATGAAGACCACTTGGTGCTGCAACTACAGCTGAATAGTCAATTTATGGGGGCATTGTTATCATTATTGAAAATGATCAAGGTGTTCATGAAGCTGTAATTCCCAGTTGAGTAGTTCCCTTTTCTTTGGTAGGTGTCAGTGAGATTTAGTCATGTGGGAGAGAATTTCCCGGCATTGACTGTGGAAGTTGAATGGTTTAGGGGAGTTCTGGGTAATGCTGCCCTGTGGAGACACAGACCTGGAGGGCCTCAGGCCAACCAGGAGTGACTGGAGAAACCATGCCAGAGGGGAGGCAGTGAGAAGTCACAACCATTTTATGCAGACCCGCTGGCCAGCTGAAAGCAGCCCACAGGTCTCTGCCTGCTCTGGATGTCAATTGGTGCAAAATTCAGTTTTGCCTCTTAAACCACACCCCTTGGAAATTTTTATGAGGTTTCTATGATCTGTATAGAAGGTGCCCTTCTTTATAGTTTGTTTTCTAAGGAGATAACAAGTGAAAGAAGAAAGTGAAACACTGTAGAACGTCACTGGGCTTCTGCTCTTAAGACTGGGAGACTGAAGCCATCTTACAATGAAGTCCTTCTGGAACTTCAAAAATTCCTTTGGTAGAGACTCTAAAACTGAACTTTTCTCTGTGACAAAGAACAACTGAGAGGATTTCTTTATCTTCTCAGAGAAGCTATATGGCCACAGAGCTCCCTAAGTATTTGTTAATATGGGGTTGGCCACTTATGGACATTTATATTCAGCTGACTGATGACATAAGACTGGAGATGCCTGATTCCTAACCACACTACATAACAGATTATTCTTAGCTTACTCAACAGTGCTTCCCACAGAACTTAGAACAGCTACATGACCAATTCCAAAGAAACTTATTCTTCAATGGAAATATTTTCAGGGATCTAAATATAAATTGTTCTTCACAGACTGGCGGAGGGAATTATAAAACATTTACAGTTTAACATTCATAATGGTTATGCCTTTCTCAGAATAGACAATTGGGAAATGACTGAAAGAAATAAGAAATGTCAAAGCCACACCATGTCCTCCACTTGTGGGTTTCTCCTATTTAAGGATTAGGGGGTGCTCAGTGACATCACTGTTGCCACTACAAATGGAACCATCTGCCATCGAGCAGGAAAGCCAATCATTCCTTAATGTGCAAAAATACTTAGTTGCACTCCTGAAACTTATTTGGTAGATCAAAAGCTGCATTGCTATGGAATGTAGTCAACTCCGTCTGTTTGAGGTATTTGCAGCAATGCAGTCTCTCTTCTTTGGAGACCTGGGGTCCCATTACTTTCCAAAATAGTGTTTTACTCATGATAAAATTCTCAGCAGGGATCTTTATTTTATTTTATTTTATTTTATTTATTTATTTGTTTGTTTGTTTGTATGTTTATTTATATTTGCAGCAGGGACCTTTGTTAACAGTTGACCAACCTATTCTTTATGAAAAACTCTCCTGCCTTCATTCATTTATGTATCATGACTATGGATCACATAAGCCAATGATGTTCAGGGCTCTATTATAGTAACTCACAATTCCAAGAAGCTTCTCTGCATTAGTTTATCAATATCTTCATATTTATGTTTTTATTAAGTAGTATGGCCATATTGGTCCTGGAATTAATTTTTCCAGAGTCACTAATTGTCATTGTTTTCCAGAAAATACCCTACTGCTCTCTGAAACTACGTATTATTTCCCAGTGCACTTGCTCGCTGAAAGCTGAATGCCAAGATCTCTGATCCAACCTGTGCTCCTTCTCCCACACAGACACACACTTCCCAACAGCTCCCTTCAATTCTGCTTCTGAGCGAGAAATTCCTTCTGGGATCCTTGTGGGAAGAGTTCAGCTCTGTTCTCTGCCCATACCCTCGGCACGTCTTCCCCATAGGATCTGACCTTGCAAGGACTCAGGCTGCCCTGGGAGTAATGAATCACCACTTTTATTTTTTTAAGCCATATGTGAGTTAAATTGTTTGATAATAAATCATACCCTTGCAGCTCCAGTTTGAAACAGGAGAGCCATTTGCCCGCCGCCTGTGGCTGGCTGCTCTCTGTCTCTATCCACATCGTCCCTTTAAGAAATGACTGCATTCTTTGACTAACCTTTTCAGACCCATTTTCTTGAATGTGGACCAGTGTTTGTTTTGGCAGTGTCCCCACTATACAGTCTTCATTTCCCATGCCAACCAAAGACAAAATTCATAATTTACAAAATAAGGGAATGGCACAGATGGAGGTCATAACTTGGTCTGCTTACTCTGTCTCCCCAGAACCACCCACTCCTTCCCTCTGCTCTTTCCCTTTTTTTTTTTCCACCTTCTTTGAAACCAAGGATGCAGTGTTTGTTTAAAAATGCATTGGCTGATGAAATTTTCCACCACTTGGCATGTTGGAGGAGGGGCTGTCAGGAAAGGGCAAGCTGACATACTAAATACTTTGCCTTTCATGCTAACAGTTCACTTATTACCAATTCAAACCAATGCTTTTTGGCCAGCTTCCCATACCCCAGGAATTCAAGTAGAAAGAAGGGGAAATTTCTGTCATCATTTTCTGCTGTTATAAATATATGATTTTGTTTAACATAAAGGGATTCTTTGACTTGTCCATGAGCTGCAGGTGCTGTATGTGTACCTATGGGATGTCAGTGAATAGTTAAATTGTTTGTTTTGATTTTGGTCTAGCATGAAAAAACCTCATAAGTTTAAAATAAATTTATGTTTAACATATTTCTTTTCTTTTCTTTTTCTTTTTCTTTTTTTTTTCTTTTTTTCCTTGCGGCTACATGCACAGGGGAACAACAAAGTAAGTTCTTTGTCCTATTGTAAGTCCTCTACTTCTGCAGCCCCCACTCCCCGCTTTCATGTGTCCTGGCAAGAGTGTCTCTGTGTACATTGAAATGACTGCTGTCTGTGACGGTGCACAAATGACACGGGGCATGGTCGTGTCTGGGAAAACATGTTTGGACTGCCATAATGGCTGCTTAGTTTTGACCTTTTGGAAGGGAAATATGTTCTTCAAATATTATGTTGCTTACTGGGCAATTTAGAGAGGTTGATATTTTAAGGAATGAGATCAACACTGAGAGCAAAAATTATGAAGATTTAATAATGAAGACTCTTCTGCAGAAAGGTACAGCAGTCTGATGAAACTCAGTGCAGCTGAAGTTTTTGAGCAGAAATAAAAGCTCTCATGTTAATGTGCAGTTATAAAAACCTCAGGCTGGAGTCTTAACTAGCAAGATGGCTGGTGAAACTGAACTAGATCAGCGCTCTGGCTTTGAAGGTGCCTTAAAATGGATGGAGGAGGGTGGGGTCAACATTTGACTTGGCTTCTGTGCCCTTGATGTATTCCAGCTGGATGGAAGCAGAGGGTGTGGGGAATAGAGGGGGAGACTGAAATGTGTATGATAGATTTGTGAAACCAGGCAACACACACAAATGGTGGAAATTATTTTAATGTTAAAATAGATCAATGAGCAATTTAGTTCTCTGGGTTGCTAGTTGGTTGAAATTTTGATTCGACTTTTCCAACAGATTTGAACCACTTTTCACTGATGTTATTTATATAATAGTAATGTATGTAGTTGGGGGAAATGGTCTTAAGTTTAGTAGGGTGATTTGTTTTTCTCTTTTTTCTATGGAGAACTGTTAGTGCTTTGTCCTACCAGGTGGCCCACTTAAAATGGACCTCATTGAATACAATAAGAATTGAAAAGAATCTGTTATATAAAGGTCTGCCTGCATATTTAAACCAGCTGGAATTCATCAAAATTGCTGTTCATAAGCCATACATATAGAATGTAAAACAAATGTGGGAAATCTTGCAGTTTAATTTGCTGGAATGTGCTATTATGGAATAAGCTGACATAAACGGTTGGTATTGAAAATGTGTCACTTTATAAATTTATATTTTGAATAACCGCATATGACCCAAGTAATAATATTTAATAAAGTTAAAAATAATACAAGAAAAGTACAAGATAGGCATTTGTGAAGGAGCAAAGCCGTGAACTCAGTTCACTGATAGTTCACCTTTTTAAAAACAGGTAACTTTTGAAATTAATGAAAGAATTCTTGTGCAAAATAGGGAATATATTTTTAATTAATACTACCATTCTTGCAAAAAAAAATTGGACAAAGTATAAAAAAACCCCACATTTTAGTTCTTACACCATATAATATCTTTGAATTCATGAATAGAATTTTCTTGATCATGACCACTCATTTACATTACACTGAGTCCCTTTGCAATGTCAGGTGTTGCATCTTTTGTTTGTTGGTTAAGTACCCCAAGCTAAATATGAGTGCCCTAAAGGCAAGGCTGTCCATGCTAATGATTAGGGAACCAGTTTATACTACTTGGGAGACTTCTATGATTTGCCTTTTTCACTAGTGACTCACTGATGACTTCAAGGCATTTGTAAAATCTCCTAAAGAAAATACTTCTCCATAGCAGGACCCATCCATTTGTTATCCAGTTTTTCTGGATAACAAAATGTTCAATTTAATAGAGTTTACTGATTTTGAAATAAATTGTAATATAATGAACAATACAACTCAAATGTCTGAACTTGCTCATTATGGGCACCTCAGGATAATACAGAAGGCCCTCCTGGACCTCTGGGGACCCAAGGTCACCATCTACATTGTGAACAGTAGGGACAATGCTCTAGGGGTCTTTGGGCACCAGTGCTTAAAATGCTGGTTGAAGAAAACCAAACACACACACACGCATCATTTTGATTTTTTACTCTAAAGCAGTTATTTTGGAGGTGCTGGTGCTGATATTTATCACACCATGCCTTCATTTTTAATTGTTTATGTTCAGAGTAAGTGATAGCTTGCTAAAAAAAAAAAAAAAAAGTACAATGCTAATACTTTTAAAATATGCTCATTTAACTGACCATGGACTCTGGCAAGAGAGGGCCTCCTCAAATCACAAACAGCACATCTGCATGCTATTTTCCTTTAGCTTAGAATTTCAGTTTAAATGGAAAACACTGGAATACAAGCTGTGCGTCTCCAGAGTATAGAGCTGGAGTCTTCAAAAGGAGAATATGAGAGTCTTTTTTCCCTTTGACTCTGGAATGCTTGTACTGAGTTGTCCCCAAGGCAACATACCTGACTTGTTGCCTGCCATATATGTGAGCCAGCTGTAAAAGGTGATTCATTTTAGACTCACAAAAGCTAATTGTTTATTTCATGAATGGCATTTTATTATTTTGATACTAACCAGACTCTAAAGGGAAGGAAGCCTTTAGTAGATGAACAGTATGAATGGGTTTATCTTCCTCCATACATTACACAATGCATCTACACACACATATTCTAGGGTGCATGCAACAACCTCACTATTTATTTTCTCTGTGACAACTAAATTGATCTGTTTCATCCATCTTTGGATTGCATTTAGAGTTTGGGAGGTAGGTCTGTAAACTCCAAGCAAACAAAATTTCTTAAACAGATGCACATTTCAGTTTACATTGTGAATGCACGATGGAACAAAACACCTAGTTTCACTCTCTCCCTTGAACAGTTTTATGTATTTCATTATTTTTCCTTAAAAAGCAAGTTTTCATTTTGTGAAGCAATCACAGTTTGTCAGGAAAATTTTTTCCTTGAGACCCATTACTTGTTTTTCCCTTTGAAAATGTTTTTTTTTCTGTTGGCATAGTGATATCCTAAATTAGGGTAGAGGCTTTCTCCTCTTCAGAGGGGTTTTCTTGGACCATGTATTCCAAGTACTGTCTTCATAAGGAAGACCAGAATTTAGGACTTCCAGTATGAGTTTTGGGAATGTGAATAATATATGCAGAACCAGAGAGGTTTTATTTTTAAAATATGTTTTTGAGCACAAATGTAACTCAGAATGTCATTTTTAGAAAAGAGGCCTGCAGGTAAAAAATAATCTCCATGTTTTGTCCTAGTGAAAAGATACTTTATTTCCTTTTTTAATATGCTACCTTGTCTTGGTAGGTTTTCTAGAAAATTAATAGACTTTTAATTTTATTTCTTTAATAAAGACTTTACTTTTGGCTAAATATCACTGATAACAAATTAGGCAAGCTAAAAGTAGAGAAAACATAAAACATAAGGAGTAAAATTCTTTAACAAGAGCTCTGAAATTTCTTAATTATGTTGATGAAGAAAATAAATAAAAACTAAAAAGAATCCTTGATTCAGAAATGAATAGCTCAATTTTTTTGAGTTATAGAGAAAAGCTACATTTAAGCTCTTTGAAAGAGCAACTTATTATCCCCTTAATTCAGTCTTTTTAAAATAAAAAAAAATTATATTTCCCCTTAGCAGAAATATGAAGTGGCCTCCTTGATTGAAAAGAAGGAATGTTTGAAAAGGACCAAACCATGTTAAAACAGAATATAAAAATAACTAAATTTTTACTAAGTTAGGCTGTGAGCAATAATTTCATACATATCTGAGGACTTTGATATTTAAGAAAAGAAGGAAGGAACATCTGATTTAAACACCTGTTTTTACAGCATCTAAAAATACCTTGTCCAGTGATTTTCCAACACATTTGGCAAGACAAATGGACATTTTGAGTCTCCATTAGTGGGAAAAGTAGTAATTACCTTGAGTACTTATTTTGGTGACCTATTGGATTCTAGAAGTCATTTGCAAAGTCAGGGTGTGCCAAATCAAATGTCAGCAAAACACATTACACTGAAGAGCACAAATGTTAAATCCATGTTAATTTGTCTTGCTACTATGCCAGGCCTTCAACTCCTAAATTTCCATCACTGGTCACATGTAAAAACATATAGGTAGGAAATGAAAACCCATCCTCACACCTGGCAATAACTTGTTGATGCTATATATTCTAATTTTGATGGGTAAAAGGAGCAGACAGTACAATGCCATAATGACATTTCCCTCACTATTTAAATGTAAGACAGAAAAGAGTATTTCTAAACAGTTTAGATAGAGTAAGTTTGATTAGGATAATTTATTTTCTTTGAACAATATATATCCCTGGTTTTCTTAGAGAAGTTCAGCAAATGTGTTTCCTAGGGACTATGGAGAATGCATCTAATTTTTTAAAAACTGTATGCATAACCCAATAAGAATATCTTTAGAGTAAAAGGAAAGAATGGAATTTCACCAATTTCAGAGTATTATTTTCATTCCACAAATTGTCTATCCCACCCTTTGCAGCACCAATAAACCTCTGGTTCTTTTTCAGCAAATCAATTTTAAAAGAGCATTATTAATGATGGGGTTTTGAATTCCTTGAGTTTAATCTTAATAATTTAAAGGAAAGGACAGTTCAGATGGAGGCAGAAAAGTTTGAGCAGTTGGAATCTATATATATATAAAATATTCCAAAATTTATGAATCTAGATCCTATAGGATAACAAGAATCGATCCATTGCTCAGAAAATTCCTAGTCAGTGAAACAACAGAGACTTTTGAAGGACGCTTAAGGCTTACACATTTCCTCTAGCCTGTCCAAAAGGAAGTGACCTCACCCTTGAGAAATAATGGGAATAATCATGTTTTACTTCATACATGTGTTTTCTCACATAGATAAAACCTCTTTTTCATGTGTTTTATGAGACTTTTTAACAGAACTAGTTTAACACTGTCCCCAAATAAAAGAAATTCCTTATACCTCTGTTTTGAAATCATGTTACATTAAGTATGATTCTGGACGTTTCATTGTGATGAGTTTTGATTTGAAATTTAAACCCTTTTATTTATCAATGGACTTGAAACCTATAAAGTGAACTCATACAAAATCACTATAGTTAAGAGAAAAAAACTATACAGTGAGAATAAATC